TGCGTGCCGGGGGCGTGAGCCCCCAGGGCCGTCGTCCGGCGGCGGGCGCAGCAGCCAGCAATAAATCTTATATATCCATCCACTTTCTATCAAATGCCAGGGTCTTGTTTTTTATGGCAGAGTAGTATCCCATAGTGTATATGTTCACATTTTTTCAATCCATTCACCTGTTCATGGACATTTGGGTTGGTTCTATGCCTTAGCAATTGTGAATAATGCCACAATAAACATAATGTGCAAGTACTTTTCTGAGAATTTTCTTATCCTTTGAGTAAATAGAGACTCAGGAGTTGAATGCTAGACCATATTGTAGTTCTATTTGTAGATCTTTGAGGAACCTCTACATTCATTTCCACGGTGACTGTTCTCATTTTCATTCCCACCAACAGTATAGGAGAGTTCCCTTTTCACCACAGCCTCGCTAGCACTTACCATTTGTTGTATTTTAAATCTTAACCATTCTGACCGGGGTTAGGTAGTATCTCAGTATGGTTTTTGAGTCTCATCTCCCTTATGATGACAGATGTTGAGCATTTTTTCATATGCTTTTTAGCTATCCATATGTCTTCTTTAGAGAGTTGTTTGTTCAGTTCATTTTCCCATCTTTTAATTGAGATATTTTTTCTGATAATCACTTGAGTTCCCTATGTATTCTGGTTATCCATCCCTTATCTGAGGCATAGTTTACAAAACTATTCTCCCATTTCAAGGATTGTCAATTCACCCTAGTGACCGTGTCTTTGCTGTGTGAAAACTTCTTAATCTGATGTTATCCCACATGTCTATTTTTGGGATTACTGCCTGTGCTTTTTTGGGGGGAAGAAGGGGGTCTTATTTAAGAAGTCTTTGCCTACTCTGATATGGAGTTTTCCCAGTGTTTTTCACCAGTAGTTTTATAGTTTGAGATCTTAGGTTTAGATATTTGATCCACTTTGAGTTGATTTTTGTTAATGGTGAGAGATAGGGGTCTAGATTCATCTTTCTGCAAGTGGATACCCAGTTTTTTCATCACCATTTGCTAAAAAGGATTTCTTTTTCCACTGGATTGACTGGTGTCTTTTGTCAAAACTCAGTTTGCTGTATGTTGGGGGTTTATATGGGGGATTTCTATTTCTGTTCCATTGGTCCACATATCTGTTTTTGTACCAATACCATGCTGTTTTGATTATTGCAGCCTTGTAATATATTTCGGGGTCACAAGTGAGATGCCTCCTACCTCACTGTTCTTGCACAGGATTGCTTTGGCAATATGGGGTCTTTTATGATTCCAGACAAATTCTGTAAGTTTCTATATAAAATGTCTGTGGTAATTTGATTGAGATTTTGTTAAATATGTAGGTTAATTTGAGTAGAATTACCATTTTGATTATATTGATTCTTTCAATCCAGAAACATGGGATGTCCTTCCACTTTTTAGCGTCATTTTTTATTTCATTTTTTAGGTTTTCAGTTTTCCTTATAAGCATTTGACTTCTTTGGTTAGATTTATTCCTAGGTATCTTATACTTTTTGTGATTATGGTAAATGGGATTACTTTCTTCAGTTCCACCTCAGTTTGCTTGTTGTTTGTACATATAATTGCTATAGATTTGTATCCTGACACTTCACTGTATTCATTTATCAATTCCAGGAGGGCTTTTTTTTTTTTTTTTTTTTTTGTCTGTTTGTTTGTTTTTCAAAGGAGAAGACTTTCGGATCTTCTATATATATAATCACGTCATTTGCAAATGGAAATTATTTCACCTCTTCTTTCAAAAAATATTTCAGTGCCTTTCATTTTATTCTCTTTTCTGATTGCATTGGCTAGGACTTCCAGCACTATATTGAAAAGGAATGGAGAAAGTGGACAATCTTGTCTTGTGCCAATTTTTAGTAAAAAAGCGTTCAGCTTTTTCACATTCACTATGATGTTAGCTATGGGGTTTTCATAGATGGCTTTTACTGTATTGAGAAATGTCCTTTCTATGCTAATTTTGCTGAGAGTCTTAATCATGAAGGGATGTTGTATTTTACAAAATTAATTTTCTGCAATTGATATGATTATATGGTTTTTAATGTTTCTTTCTGCTAATATGGTGTATTACATTTATGATTTTGTATATGTTGAACCACCCTTGCATCCCTGGAATGAAGTCAACCTGGCCGTGATGTATAATCCTTTTTATATGTTATTGGATATGATTTGCTAGTATCTTGTTTAGAATATTTGCATTTCTATTCATCAGAGATATGGGCCTTTAGTTTTCTTTTTTGTCATGTCTATTTGGGGAATAAGGGTGATACAGGCAGGCATCATATAATGAATTTGGGAAGTTTCCTTCTTTTTGCATCTTTAGAAATATTTTTAGTAGAATGGGGATTAACTCTTTTTTATTCTTCATTTTTATATCACATTTAATAACATATATCTTTACAGCGTTTTACATTTCTTTTTTCAGCATGATTACCATGCATATCAGTCAAAACAAAGACATTACTATCCACATCATCTTCATCAAATAGTTTTTCATCATTCATTTTTGGGATTATCTCTTCTTTAAAAGTTTTACAGAGGGACCAACAATTAGCCTAATGACTATATTGCTGGACTCCCATGTAGTCCACCATGGTTCGAGTCCCAGACCCAGTGGCTTAAACTCACACTGGGCATGTGTGTGTGCGTGCCCAAGATCCCAAGAGGAGAATGAAGGAGAAGGGATTGTGGTGTGGACATCTCCCCCTGAGGGGCGATTTCTCACTTTCTCTCTGTCTCTCTCTGTCTTTCTGGCATGCACACATGCCCTATAGCAAACAACTCTCAAAAAAATGTTTTTTAAGTTTTGTAGAATTCAAAAGTGAAACCATCAGGACCTGGACTTTTCTTTGTCAGAAGGTTATTTATTACTGATTCAGTCTCACTGCTTGTTAGTATCTATTCAGGCTTTCTATGTCTTCCTGATCCAAACTTGGTGGAATGTATGTGTCCAGAAAAAGTTTCTGCATAGCAAAGGACATCATAAATACTGTGAATTGGTAACCCTCAGAATGAGAGAGAATTTTTGTTAACTGTGCCTCATATAAGGGACTGATAACCAGAATACACAGGGAACTCAAGTGGCTTACCCAGAAGAAAATGATTAACCCAATTAAAAGATGGAGAAATAAACTGAATAAACAACTCTCTAAGGACGAATGAAAACAGCCAAAAAGCATATGAAAAATGCTCAACATCCCTCATCATAAGGGAGATGCAGATCAAAAGCACAATGGGATATCGCCTAACCCCAGTCAGAATGGTGGAAAAAAGAAAAAGTGCTGGAGGGGATATGGTGAAAGGGGAAGTCTCCTCTTGTTGGAGAAGAATATGGAGGTTCCTCAAAGACCTTCAAATAGAACTGCCATATGGTCCAGCAATTCCACCTGTGGTTGTCTACC